GGGGTGGAGGTGGGGGTGGGGGGCAGCTGAGCAGGGCCAACCCCCCTCCAGCAGCCCCATTGCCCCAGCAGCCCTGGCCACGACACCTACCTCACCTCCTCCTGCTTGTGCAGGGTCAGGTAGACTTCATAGATCTTCCCCCGTGGGATGGCATCGGGTGGGATGAGCAGGCTGATCCCTGGGTAGGGGGGAGTGCATGTTAGGGGGGTGGACCCCATGGGGACCCACCCGCACCAGGCGATGCTCCGGCACCCTGTCCCCCATCCTGCTATACCTGTGTTGGGGATCATGAGCCGCCCCCCCAAGAAGTTGAAGGTGCCGTAGGCCATGTTGGTGGTGCCGCGGGGCAGGGAGCGAAAGTAGCTCTGGGTGGAGAGCCGGGCCACGAAGTCGGCGCCCTCAGTGGCGGGCGAGCTGTGGTGCAGCGTGTGCCGCCCAGCGCCCAGCGGGCTCAGCAGGTGCCCGTTGGGCGGTTGGCGGCGCCATCCTGGCGTGGGCAGAGTGAGCCCTGGTAGGTCATGGTGGCGGTGCTGAGGTCGGGCTGGATGGTGAGCAGGCTGGGGTTGTCTGTGGCACAGAGCAGGGGGCCATGGCACAGCAGGGACGGGGAGGTCCCCGCCAGCGATGCGGCGGCACAGCCGGCCCCGGGAGACATGGGACACACAGCTCCCACCCCATAGTAAGGACCCTATGGGGCACAGCCATACCAGGGGTCCAAAGGGCATCGAACCTCTGCCCCACGGCACAGACACCCCTGGGGTCCCTGGAGCACACAGCACCAACCCAGCACACGGCCCTATAGGGACCAGGTACCCTATGGGACAGAGACCCCACCCACAGCCAGGGACCCTACAGGGCACAAAGCACTGACCCCACAGTTAGGGACCCTTTAAGATATAACCTCCCTGTCCCTAGGTCAGGGATCCCATAGGACACAGAGCCCCAACTCAAGACCGGGGACCCCACAGAGCACACAGCCCCTGCCCGAGCATCCCCAGGGCCATAGCTGCCCCCAAGTCCTGAGGGACACCGTGTCCCAGTGTGGGTCCACAGCCCTGTCCCCTCAACTCTCGCTCACCGGCCTTGCTGGGCTTGATGCTGACGGGCTGGAAGCCAGCAGTGAGGATGGAGGAGTCGGCCACATCAGCGTCCAGGCCCCCCTTCTTGCGGCAGTACACCAGCACCCCCACCAGCAGCAGCAGCACCAGGCACACGG